AAATCACGTACATTTTTCAGTTGCTAAATTAAAACCAATATATAAGTGTATACAACCATAGACAACACAAAAATAACAAACAACGCCATCTATTGGTTTATGATTAAACAATACGACATTAAACATGTCTAACCAATACGCATAGAGGCCATTATACTTTGATAATAAACATAAAACTAGTCAAAACAACTGGCAGGATATTCTTGTCGGAAACTTTAGCAGTAAGCTGAGAAACTTCTACTCTATTAGCCCATTCTGCTGCCTCTGTAGTTAAGTACATAAAACCAATACAGCCATATTGGTTTATGTGCTTAGGTACTCAATAAAAACTTTGTTTTTATTGTTCGACATTTATCTAGTTTCTGACGGCTTTACATCTTTCGGAAAAACTGTATCAATTATGTTTTTAACTCGAGTCTGTGATGTGACTGGATGGCGCCTCGTTTAGTTCTAAACAAAGTTTGTAAGTAATTGACAACTGATAAAAAATATTTACTTTTTTCAAAATAGATGGAAACACTGATTAATAAAAATAGATGACGGTGAGAGAAATAGAACTGATGATATGTGTATTAGTTGGGAATCAAACTCACAACCAAGGATAGAAGGCAAGGCAGTATTTCAAACCGTAACACCGCCATGATTATCATTTTACAAGCTTTAGTTAAATTTACTTCTTAGTCAATCCTGCCAAGTTAACTTTGAACTGACTCTCGTTATTGAAATAAACTATTAGATAGTTGTATAATCTCTCGAAAGAGTTTACATTGATCAACAATACCAACTAGATATCCGTTACTTACATCTAAGATGGCCAAACGAATAACGCCTCACTTAGAGTGAAATGGATCTTGCTTTGACATACATAATATAAACAGAATGTTTATAATAGCGTAAAACTGTGCTTGAATTTTTTTATATTTAACTTTCAAACAAATGATACTATATTTGGAATTCTGATTTAGCTCGTCAGCCGTTTTTTTGCGGTCGCAGTCCAATTATGTTTTACACCCTTATTAAAAAAGAAAAACTAAAACTTCCTTGGAAACTGTTTCAGCTATTAGTATTGTGATATTTAATCTAACTTAAGAGTTAAATAAAAATTAAAAGAAAAAGATTAGTTCCTCCAATACCTACAATGGTGTATTCATATGTTTATAAGACATTTGACTTTTTTTTTTCATAAATAAGATTTAAGTTAGTGAGGAGTTATTCAGCGAGGCCGTATTCAGTTCTTTAATTCCCGGGGAGTTATCTAGTTGACGTTGTTCATCGAAGTCAACTTTGAATATAATTTACATGTAATAATAGGATTCTGGAATGGAATTAAAAAGTGCTTAATGCGCTTGAAAACTTTTAAATAATTTTTGCATTTTCTGGAAAAAGGAAATATGTGACATGCATTAGTGAAATGCATTCATAAGATTAAGGTCATAAAATTGTTAAGCCTTACTAATATTACAAACATGAAAGTGAGTTTGCTTGTTACCTCTTAGCGCATTAACGGCTTAACCAAATTCCATAGTGTTTGGTTAAGCCTTAGGGCGTTAAGAAGTAACAAATAAACAAAATAACTTTATTAGCTGTTTTCCGCTTTAATTAATACAAGAAGTATCCTGTGTGCATACATGCGTGCGTGCGTGCATGCTTGCATGCTTGCGTTAAGTGCATGTGCGCCTTTCTACCTGTGTGTGCGTGTGCATGTACGTGCGTTCGTGCGTGTGTGCGTGTGCGTATGTTGTGTTGTGCGTGCGTGCGTGCGTGCGTGTGTGTGGTGTGTGTGTGTGTGTGTGTGTGTGTGCGTGCGTGCGTGCGTGCGAGCGTGTGTGTGCGCGTGTGTGTATGTGATCATGCGTGCATGCGTGGTTGCGTATGAAAGAGTAAACATACCCATCTTTACATCCACACATTAGGATTTATAGTAGTTATACTTAGAAACAAAGATATAATCCAACCATATAAAGCTTCAAGCATATTTTATATCCATCGCAACAGTGTACCAAATTACGTTACGTACGCGGCAATGCATAATTGCAACTGCACGGAATATAAAACGGGTGCTGAAAAAAAAAAACAAAAAAGCAATAGCAAAATGTAAAACGTAAATGAAATACGGAATTAAAAAACGAATAAATACGAAAACGCAGGGATGATAATTAAGAAATAACAAATATTATGATACTACCGCTGTTATTCGTACGAAGGTGTCCCCCTCTGGCGTACGTGTACGTAGTTACGGAATCAAATTAATCTTATATAACTATATAGAAACACTCTTACTAATATAATAAAATTGTAACTAATTAATGTCTGCCCATTTACCGTGTGGTCCCGGCATAGAATAGGCCACCCCTTCTTTTCCCGTGGGTGTCGTAAGAGCCGACTAAGGGAAGGCGAGGGATGGGCAGCAGCGTCCCTCTCGAATCATCTTCAGAGCCCAACTGCGATTGCTAATCCGTGGCAACTACTGGCAAAACCCCCCAAAGGGGAGGCTTATATTACAGTGGACAGTTAAAGTCTGATATGATGATGTTTGTTCATAGAAGATGAGAGATCTTTGTAATCTATAATAAAGAAAATATTATATTATAACTATAATTGCCGTGTGGTCCCGGTATAGAATGGGCCACTCTTTCCTTCCGCGTGGGTACTGGAAGTAGCGACTAAGGGAAGTTATTGTTCGAGGGATTGGCTGCAGTGTCACTCTTGAACATCATCGTTGCCAATCCATCTGTCAAGCGTGGCGACTACTGACCAACTCCCCATCATAGGGGAATAATGATACTGTAAATACCGAGTAATTGCCATATTTGGCCGGCCAGTTGGCTGGTGTGGTGTTGGTTTTCCGTCGATCTGACCGTATATCCCTCTTACGATATGTAGGTAACTATTAAATGTTCACGACTTCATCTACGCAAAACGGAGTTGTATAATCCTTAATCTGAGAAATAATTGATTCCAAATTTACAGCCCCTATTTCACCCCTTTTAAGTTTTATTTTCAGAGCAGAAACTAGCCTATATCCTTCTCCAAAATCCAGTCTATCTTTATACTAAAATTCATCAAAATTGATTCAGTGGTTTAGGCGTGAAAAGGGAACGGATAGACAAAGTTGCTATCACGTTTATAAAATTTGTATGAATGTGTTTTTACTCGTAAACATAAAATCAATATAATACGTCTTTATTTCTCATTGACAGCGATTCTTTTGTGACGCTGCGGTTACATTTGTCCATTGAAATACAAACAAAATTAAATTTCCCACCAATACAATACATGAAATACATAATGAAATATTTTGCGGTAAAGCCACCGGTCGTCCGATAGCGAATTACATTTTATATTGTGTTCCAAAAATTAACAGCAACGTGCCAACGTACAATTTATGATTATTGGACTTTCCGTCATTTGACCCCGCATATTTGACATTTGACCTCTCGTATGTGGTAAAATAAAAATATGTTCTCATTTGTATTCGATTCATTTTGAAGTTGGATTTTTTGAACAACTTGGAACTCTGATATTACACTATTATACCTAAGGTATGGTAGTGTAGTGTCAAATACATGTACAAAATAGTGTACCGGAGCAACAATACATAATAATGTGCTGTTCGATAAATAACAATTGGTAAATCAAATATCAAAACAATCAAATCTCTTAATAAAAGTCATTTAATAATTATTATAAATAATTGTCCTATATTCCTATTTTTTTCATGTTGTGATCTATTCATTTTGGAGCTGGATTTTTTGAGCAACTTGGAACTCTGACATTACACTATTATGTCCAAGGTATGGTAGTGTAGTGTCAAAAATATATGTATAATGGTGTACCGGAGCATAAACATAGAATAGTTTCGTTATTCCAATATATAAATATTGGATAATAAAATACCAAAACTAATCTCTTAATAATTAGTTAACTTCCCAACACTCCTAATTTTTTCATTTGTATTCGATTTATTTTAAAGCTAGATTTTTTAAGCAACTTATAACTCTGATATTACACTATTATGCCCAAGGTATAATAGTGTAGTGTCAAATATATGTATGTAATAGTGTACCGAATAACAACACATAAAAATGTGCTGTTTGATAAATAACAATTCAACAATCAAATGTCGAAACAATCAAATCTTTTAACATACATTCTTTAATAATTAGTAAAAAGTCAGATTTTGTTCCACAAAGAAAAATACTGACTACAATTGTGATAAAACCAAAAAAAAAATGGGATCTAATCTATGAAACTAATCTGAAAGTATACCCTTTTAAATAAAAAAAAACATTCTAAATCGGTTTATAAATAATAAAATTCTCAAATAAAAATACATAAAAAAAACAGAACCAAATAGAAAACCTTATCTTTTTTTTAAAGTCAGTTAAAAGGTATCTGCATGAGTACTTTTATCTCATTCATATTTCTACCATCAAACAGCTGCAGCAGATGTCCTAACGCGACTATTACGTATGATATATGTATGACTGTTCGCTTTAATGGTTGGGGCATGGTAGTGTAATTACAGGGTCCTGAAACGTAACACTTTCAACCTCAGAACTTGCAACACGTGAGGAGTCCTAAAAGGCTTTACAGTGTATTCTGTAATATTCATGGCTTTTTCTGACAGTTACCACTTTCCTATTTAATGGAAAGTGGTCAAGGTCATCAGTTTCTTTGTCATTCCGAGTCATTAAAACAAATTCAACTGAACTGCATGACTAATGTAAAGCAGCTACATGACTATGTTTCAACTTGAAGGGTGGGATATGATAGTAAAATTCCAGGGTACCTAGGAAGACAAAACATTATAGTTCTCAGGAATAGAAATAGAAAGGAACACTATAGACCTCACAAAGTATTCTATAACATCCATGTTATACACGTTTACAGACAACAGACTAGGCCATTCGAAACAAATTTAACCGAATTGCAAAAGTTTTCAAACAAACCATATTCCTAGAGTTTTGAAGGACTGATGATAATATTTCTGTCACCAGCATCGGGATACCCAAGAGACCCTGGCAGTTCTGGACCGGCTCGATTTGGACACCGAAAAGCCTTCAGATGAAGAAGTAGCCAGAAAATTCGGGTTCGAAGAAGACTACTACAAAGGAACTGTGTCCTGGTGGCAACAACTGAAACCTCAGATGTGGTCGTTGTTCGATGAGCCCTACAGTTCTAATGCAGCTAAGGTTTGTAACTTAAAAGTTTCACTTGCCTTGTGTTAGCAACTGAGTATGTAAGAATATTCAACAGGTACTTCCATACACGCAGTTTAACATCCTCTATGGCATAACATCTAATTTTGCTTTTCTTTTGACTCATGTATTCACTCTCCTTTTTCTTCTTTCTCTTCTTCTTTCTATAATTCCTTTTAAGTTGCCATAATGTATTACATAAAAATCTTCTCTTTTTCTCAATCACTTTTATTAATGATTTCTATGAGTCGTTGCGCTTTTACTGATTTTTATTTTATTATTCTCCATTTCTTTATTTTAAAATTAATTTTATTTTAAATTAATTATTTTGCGATGTATAGTTTGAAGTATAATTCAAAAGTTGCCGTGTAGTGGGACTACATACAATGAACCACCCCTTCCTTTCTTGGGTGTCGTAAAAGGCGACTAAGGGAACTTAATGGTCGAATAATTGGCATCAGCGTGCCTCTTGAGAAACTACGGTTGCTAACTCGCCTGCTAAGCATGACAACTACTGGCAATACCCTATGTTAGGACCTATGTTCAGCAGTGGACAGTTAACGACTGATATGATTAATTATCAGATACTTATTGGAAAATGTTAAAAAATTCTTGATTCGCTATGGCCAAGATGTTTCTAAACCCAATAAGTAAAATCTTACATATTTACATTATTCTTACATATTATTTGCATTAAAACAATTTGATTTAATTATTCTCTAATAATACATAATATAGTTATAATCTAATAAAACTCTAAAAAAATATTAAGCAAAGTAAATTTAATGAAGTAATAAAAAAATATCCCTAATGTTCTTGAATAGACATTAAAATTCGGAAATATTATTGTATCGTTAACATTTTAAATTCTTTGCTGGACATTACTCTTTCTCAGAAAATAAACTCATAAAACCATTAAATGGGAAAATGTAATCCTTTAACATTGCGAAATGTAAAATATTGTAGAACAATCTAGGAGGAAGTATTCTAAGGACCATTTTGATTCAAATTTATGTTAATCAAAAGTCCCCTAACCGAAGTGGGTGTCCATTGTTTTGAGACAATCATGAACTTGAAAACTCCATGTAATACTATTAGCATACTTTAAAGTAGTGAATGTACTAATTGATTACAATTTCCAGTTTAATAGTAAACCATTTTAAGCTCTTTAACTTTGAATTTAAAGTAGGATTTACGTTAAACGTTAATAAAACACTTTTCTTCTTTCCAGATAATCGGGGTGATATCAGTGTTTTTCATATGTGTATCTATAATATCGTTTTGCTTAAAAACTCATCCAGATATGAGAGTGCCAGTGATTAGAAACTATACAGTGACAACAGCAAACCAAACGCAGAGTTGGGCGTTGGACAAAGTGCAAACAAACGCCCATATCGCGTTTTTCTACATTGAATGTGTGTGTAACGCGTGGTTCACATTGGAGATCTTAGTGAGATTCATATCATCGCCAAATAAGTGCGAATTCATTAAGTCTTCAGTCAACATCATCGATTACATAGCCACAATGAGCTTTTACATCGATTTAATACTCCAAAAATATGCGTCTCACGTAGAGAACGCGGATATCTTGGAGTTCTTTTCCATTATTAGGATAATGAGGCTTTTCAAGTTAACAAGACATTCGTCTGGTCTCAAGATTCTCATACAGACGTTCAGGGCCTCAGCCAAGGAACTGACTCTTCTGGTGTTTTTCTTAGTGCTCGGTATAGTAATATTTGCCAGTTTGGTATATTATGCTGAGAGGATACAAACAAATCCTCACAATGACTTTAACAGCATACCATTAGGGCTTTGGTGGGCGCTGGTTACCATGACGACTGTAGGTTATGGTGATATGGCGCCGAAGACTTATGTGGGGATGTTTGTTGGAGCGCTCTGTGCTTTAGCTGGTGTAAGTATATCAAAAGATATGCCTTTATAAATTTTTACTTGAATATATCTGTATGAATGTGGGTGCATACTTCTAAAACTACCCGAATATTAATTACCTCGTTTCTCATTATATAAAACCTTCAAGTAATAAAATAACTGTCTGGTACTCAACCAGATTGGTGTGTTTCATTATTAACTTTACAAGCAGACTAAATGTCATAGAAACTCATGTATCCTGAGTTATTTTAAAGTACATTTCACAGCTACGAAACCTTCCTCCATTTACAGCTAACTCTGTATTATTAAATTATATTTGATATTCCAACACCTTAAGGCTGTAGCGTATTTCATATTATATTTTGCATATCATTTACTTTTAAGCATCATTATGACGAAGTAATTTCCTCTCGTGAAGTTGAGTAACGTAACTTGAATATTTTATGTGATGGTGAATTAATGAATTATCGCTCTTTGTTAAGTACACTTTGATTAAAACTTCGCAATATCTTTACTAATAAGAACTTTTACAGAGTTTATCTTGCAATTTATAATCAGTTCTTGGAAATACGATTAATTATACATCACACCAAGTTCCTTGTAGACTAGGCAGAGAGAAACGACTGCTAAAGCCCTCTATCCTTATCTACATTTCAAATTTCATCCACTTTTATTACTCATCTTATATGTACATGATTCTTGACTCCATCAGATCTGTCTAATTACTGTTTATTTATATAATTAGTGTAAGCTTTACCCGGTAACTATATCCTTCCACTTTCTCATCATATTTTTGTTTCGTTAATCTTTCATCTGACATTCTTTCCACATTACTGAACCAACGTAACATGCTCTTTCTCATTATATGCCGTATCAATCATAATTATTAACGAAGTGGGTCAATTTATAAAGGCTTACCGACTTACAAGTTAGCAGTTTTCAACTTTATAAGTAATGCTGTCAAAACAAAATGTTTATTTAGGATACACGTTTAATTACCAAGTCTAATCATTTTGAATATTGTTAGTGGTTGTTGTGATGAATCTGAATTGAAGGGTTATAAAGTTACTTTGTTGTTCATGCAACATTTACTTGCATTGGTTCTAGAATTAACATAGGAGCAGTTCCAAAAATAACTACAGCAACTGTGAATATGACAAACTAGATAGAGTGATAGTAATATATATAGACTAGCAATAACTGGAAGCAAAGAGCTGAAGATCACGTTCAGTGACGCAGCTTGAGAGAGCCCTATGCCCAACAGTGGGCAGCAGTGTGCAGATATGATACTAGTTAATAATATAATTTTGATTTTTAGTAAATACATACATAATATATTTGTATTGAATTCTCAAACTATCAATAATTACACCATACCATAACATATTAGAACTCTGTAATTTATAAACTAATTTAGAATGTTTTTCTTTTCTGTAAGAATATACCTTCAAAGTTACCATCCTTTTATCAAAATCCTTCCTTTTCCAATATCTATTCAATAATTTTGTTTCTAAGTCAAAGTTACTGGTTTTGCTACGGTTGAAGTCACTTTTTTTGTAGGAATAATCTACATGTCAAGAATTAAAGTCTTTTAATTTAAATAAAATTACCTACACTATAAAATTATTAACTATTAAAATTACACTATAGCTCCTGGGCTGCAACATAATGCTAAGTGTGGGCCAATTATCATTAACATAATCTAACACCATCACCTCATTTACATGTCATGTTACTCTGTATGAACCTTTGTTGTAAGTGTAACAATGTTTGTCGAATAAACTTTAATTATTTTAGGAAGATCTTGTAAACATTGTTCCTAATGTTGGTAACATTGTACATTTGACAGGTACTAACGATAGCTCTGCCGGTACCCGTTATAGTGTCCAACTTCGCAATGTATTATTCACATACGCAAGCCAGAGCGAAATTACCAAAGAAGAGACGAAGAGTTATCAATGTAGAACCGGCTAGGCCACCGATGCGTAAGTATTTCTCATCGATACAGCTGACTTCAAAAATCAAAATTATATACTTAATAGAAATTAGTACAGGACTACCAGATAATAGTGTTCAAATCTAAGTTGATGGCTTGAAAGATTTTTGTAGAAAGAAAATACTTTTATTTGTTGTTCTTATAACTCAAACACAAGTCATAGATAAAAATCGATTTATATGTAACTGTTTTATATTTTTCTTACTACAGAAATTTATAGAAGAACTTAAGTGCGAAATAGTAATTTAATTAAATTTTTATGAACTACAAAATGTACAAATTAATATTATCATCACACTACTCTTTTTTAACAATATTTTAATTAAATATACTGAAAGTATGAATGCTCGAGGTTGCATCTACTAATACATTTTTAATCCGAATGATTTCCATTTAATTACCTTCGTTGTTTTCTTGCTTTGTTGCTGCCCTTAATAAACTATGTAGTGTATCAAAGTAAACTCATTAATAAGTAACAAGTACAGAAAAAAACAATTGTTTCTGTTTGTTCGTCAAGTAATGGGCATATTTATTTATTTACAATCTCGGATCATGTATGATCGTGTTCTATAATTTCTGGAATAGGTGCTCCAGGAGTTCCAGGTGCTCCTGGAGGTGGAGGACCCATGGCACCCGGTATGGGAGCCCAAGCGGTCAATCGTAGGATGAACGCTATTAAAACTAACCATCCCAAAGATATGATGGGGCCTAACATGGGTAAGACCATTTACAAGCAAATATTCACTGTATCCAATCGTATACTTCCTAATTTTCATTAAAACTGTGAAGTTTTAGAAAACTTTCATAGTTTTTTCTGACTGTTGTATATTATAATTTAAGGGCGAATTTTTTTTGAGCGTAAATATGCGTAGGCTGGAACTGGTCTTTGAGTTTTGATAGTTCACAAGTAGATGAAAGCACCATAAGTGTAAAGAATCACAATGTAGAAAAATAAAATTAACAACATACAAACAAATAAATGTCTTAGTGCAAATTGGCAATTTTCTCACAGAGTACAAGACCCTATCACAATACTTCACTATATGTGAACAATGTAAATTAACCACACATACATAAACAAGTGAATAAAAATAATAAGTAATAAAATTAGTGATCATGCGTTTAAATTAAAATGTAAATTTAAATGAATATTGTCAGTACAAAAAAAATATTAATTTATTTAATTAAATATAAATAAGAATACCTTTAATTTTTTACTAACAATATTCACACGAAACTAAATAATATTAATGTAAATGAGCTACTCACTCGACTAACTGTAGCTTATGCAATGTAATCCTCCACAGATGGTGATCGTAGCGAGCTTGAAGCTATGATCCAAACAACACCAAACAACTGCAAAAGAAAAAATTTAAACATGCTTTAGAAAGCAAACACAGTACTGGCGTCGTTGGGTCTCCGAACGGGCTTTCTATATCGCCTGCACACACGGACTTAGCTTACAGGAATGCTACCAAATCTTTAGTCATCACTAACCAATCATCGATATCATTGTATTCATCATCATCATTGCACAAACTGGCAATATCTTCAGGCAGCACTACGGAGACACGTTTAGGTCCCATTGCTTCGGCGAGAGCAGAAGGTTGGAGATTTTTGAGAATGTTGTGTGGAAACCCGTCTCGAGATAGATTAGCTGCTTTGCCGCTTGCCCATTAATTGTCGGTGTTGTTGTAGATCCCCATAGATTGATGATAGATATAATATTTAATATAAAAACTGCCTATATTTTATTATAAGATCATAAATGTATAGTTTGTCGTCATAGTGAATTTTGACAATTTTTTTTTAGTTTTTACCTTAGTTTAGTCACTAGTGAGCTCAATTACAAGATTCATATGTGTTTGTTATCAAAAATATATGTTTTCAGGCAACCATCATCATATATCAGCTACACGTGTAAACAATATACCAATTGCAGCATTGAAACCACAACCCAACACAGCGGTACACTTTATAGAAATCCTTACGTATACACTAACACTTGTCACTAAATTAAATGCAGTATTGACGTGTACTTAAATAAAGCTTCATACTCAATAAATAACAGAAGATTTAATTTTCCTCCATATAAAACGAAATTAATTTAATTTGTAATTTAAAACTCGCATTTATAGTCCAAAATATCCAACGTTTTGGAGGAAAATTAAATTAAGGTACATAATATAGCGAATTGACATATATGCACTATTTGGTGTTGTCCTACATTTTGTCTGTAATATTTTATTCGTCTTATTGTCCTTGATGTTTTATAACTATGTGTTTTGTACAGATTCTAAATGTTAGTCTAAATATTGTCTAAACTATATAGTTTATATTGTTAGTTACTAAATTAATATCTCGAAATGAATAAACAGTACTACCACCTTTTAAATTTTGAACGTTAATAACTTAAGCATGCTGATTGCATGACTTTTAACTTAACTGTTCCTGTGGTATTGTTGTCACAAATGTTCATGCCAACTTTTTTGTTTTACCAGTTGCAACCTTGATGCCAGGGATGGATTTGTCAGTAACTACCCGTCTCTCTCCAAACCCTCGCGATATGAGTCCAGCCCTAGCTATAGCGTTACCAATGATGAAATCTGTGAACATAGTACCAGCTCAGTGTTTTGACAACATGGCGTTCCACGGAGAGAAAACCGAAGATAGAAAAAGTGAAATTGATAAAAGTAGTAAAAACACTAGCCGGCAAGCATCTACTGAAAGCGATAATACTATAAGAGTAAACAATTATAAAAATGAAATATATATTGACAAGAGTGAAGAGAAAACAGACGCTAGGACGCCGTTATTGCGTGATCATAAAATTGAATCGCTCGACGAGAACAAAATGCGCGAAAACAAAACTGAGAAGAGGAAATCTTCAGCTTCTACATAACAATAACTTCTAATGTATTATTATTATTGTATAATTAACGATTAACATTAACGCTACTGCTAAATTAAACATAATATCAACGAGACCAATAGTACTAAGAATGATTTCGAATCTAGTGATCGTGCTAGTTCTTACTCCCCGAAAAGAACGTGCTGGAACGTTCATATTATGGAAATTTATAGGGGAAGCGATTAGTACATTACGAGTATTTCAAATATAATTGTAAGAAAACGTAATAACTCAAATTACCATATTGACCGTGTCGTTACATGAACTATTTGAAAAGTATATAATTAGAACTATTTCAGTAAAAGAATAACCCGGTAACATTTAGATTTCTTTAAAAATATGTAATTAAGTCGATTTATGTATTATTAAATTTAGTATTGAATTTTTATACAATTCAGTGTTAAATAAAACAAAACGTAAATATTATACAAATAGTACACAACCGATAAACAATTGTGTGTAAAGATATAAATAAATATTTATGTAAAGAATAAATTAAATAAAAAAGTAATTTATTATTACACAAAATGTTTATTACGCAAGAAACGTGAGTTGAATTATTACATTTTCATTAAATTGTTTGAAATATCGTTCATATTTCAATAAGTGGATCATTTGCAAAACAAATGACTCCAGAGATGATGGGGACGGTAATGAGAAATGCCTTGAATTAGCAATGTTATAATTTATTAATGGACTATAATAATATACATAATCTAAAATTTCGTCTTATAAGAAAGATCAAGCATTGAGGGCCGTGATAGATGTAAGATAGAACAAGTGTTTGAAGCACTTACACTTAATAAAAATAATAATAGTCGCCTGTCACAAAAAAATACCTAGTGAATTTAATGTAAGCTATACGTTCACTGCTTTAAGTAGAATTTGCCAAGTTATTAATTTACACATAATTAACTTTTAATTAATAATATTAATTTTACACATTGGACTTGAACTAAGGAGAGCTGTTTGCTGAAAAATACGCTCGTCGATGATAAATATAATAATTAAATGAAAAAAATAGCTTAATTTCCAAACATATCATTTATCTTTTCATCAGTTAAAATTTTCTGATGAGAGACGATATTTATGAAGTGTACGCATATTTTAGTACATTTGAGTACATTTTTACAATTAATATTTACATATCAAATGAATCAATTCCTTTATCATTATATTGAAATTTCATTAAATTAAAATCGAATACTATAGATAAATATACATTGAAATAACAATTAAATTAGATATAAAAATAATTATCACAGTGTAATTAATTTAAATGAAACAAATCGTGGAACTTTCTACTTAAAGTAGTGATAAATTTAATCATTATATATAATCATTATGACCAGATTTATGCATAGTCAAGTTTACTGTCCATTAGTGAGAAAGAAATAGCTTAAATGAATTACATACAACAAAGTCGATTTAAAAATTACCTCATTATTTCAGAACACTTTAATTCACCCCTATTGTATGGTTATTATGGCGTAATGTTGTCCTAATTCCCTTCCTCTCGCATTTTGAAGTAAGCATCCGCTTACTACTATATTCCAAATTTCAGCTTTCTATACTTAGTAGTTTTGGCATGATAGACAGTCAGTCCAAAAGATTTTACAAGTATAAATAAAAATATAGTAAAGTAATGATAATAATCTCCGGAGTATTATAGTAATTTGTCCCTTCAGAGCGATATTACTTTACATTCTTTCACAGGTTTCTTACATCATTTGTGTAAAAAGTTCTAGTATAGTAATTCATAAATCATTTTACTATAAATATAATTAAATTTTGTGTAAATTTAATTAATTAGTGGCACTTTTTTAATATCTTTTTAAATTATGTGTAATTCATTAAAGTTATTTCAGTGTAATCGAATAAGAAACGTTAAAACAATTTAATGTAAATAAAAATAAAATTATTATGTAGCGTTAATAATTTTATATCTTGACAGTTACATAATTATAGAATGAATCACTAGAAACACATATCATCGGCACTTTCTTTCAGTCTTGGTGTTATATTTATTTTACGTGTATATATAATAATAAATTTAAGATTAGATAGAGGTAACAAAAATATTTCTTGAATTAAATAAATATTCGCCGTAAACGCAACATGTTACACTTTCACTAAATAAACTTGATTAAAATACAGTATATTTTTTTTTACTGAGTGAAAATGAAATGGTAGCCCCGCCTGCGCTATCGGTATATGCTGGCGGGGTACCAGTAGGGATGATAGGTGAGGATGAAAGTTAGTTGGCCTATTGTGATGAATTTCACAAGAATTAACCACGATGGTTTCCAGAAGAACCGTGTATTGGTCGACTTGATTCTAGCGACGAAGCAAATGAGTTCAACAATCCCTTTTACAACTGTACTACTGCACTTTATTTACACATAAATACCTAGTTAGAGATGTATAAATAAAATTCCCGATAGTACAAATTTAGAAAGTGAGGTTCTCTAAATTGCCTCATATCTGATCTATCCTCAAATTTTTATATAATTTCTCATAACACATTAATTGTGTTACACTTTAATAAATAAAATAAATAATAAATAAATTAACATCCACTCGTTACATAGTTTATTTAGTGGATGTGTAATTAATATAGCAATTTTCAAATATTATGTTGCTTGGCAACATTAGTAAAAAGCACAAAAAAAAAATTAAAATAATAATAATAAAGGAAATGTTTATGTCTAAAAACGGGGACCTTAATCATTTTATAATGCTGTTAAATGTGTAATATTTAATTGTTCAATATAATTTATTATTGAATAGTATTGTTTTACATCAAATAAGTTAATTGTTTTTACATTTAATTTTACATATATGTGTTTAAATTATAAATGGCATAAAATGCAATAATAATACACGGATAGCACGAAACTTAAGTTTATATTAAAATATATTTGTATATAATTTTAGATATAATAATATACGTTATTGTACCATAATAATTATATATATAATCTGTACCAATTAGTCAAAATAATAATTGTGTTAATAAATTTTCAATTACTTGTATAATTTAATGCTATTTAGACTATGTTTATATAATGCTAATTCTTAAATAAAGTTTTCTTACAACGCCTGGTTTACTTCGCAATAAAAAATATATTTCGCAACATTCTTTTAATATTTAATTAATAATAATTTATTGTTGTAAAAATTTGTTATTAAATTTAATAAATATAAACATGTAAAATATCTAGTAAAAAAATATTTACACTAATTTGTTGACACGAACTTTGATTTTTTCGAACATATTATATAAAAGAGTAATTATTTAAATAAAAATTCTATTTTTGTTAGTAAGTTTTTGTTTAATCGAAATTATCCTATGAATTAACGTAAACTGGGCGTCTGTATACAATTTTTAATAATGTATATAAAAAAAAGCAGTTTTAGTGGACCACGTATAATTAATCGTTTTACACTAAAATACTTTATTAATTGCTCTTTTATGCAATGATAAAAATCTTTGGCAGTTTTGTATTTTATTAGTATATTTTAAGCTATATTTTAGGATTGAACGTGCGATGTCACAATTACAAAGAACAAGGATAGACACACCTCTTTGGATGTCATAAAGGGTCTAACAAAACATAGAAGGACAGTACTGAATTGGATAAAATAGATTTTGTGTCATTGTAAACTTGGCTAATTGGTAAAAAGAAATATTGTTTTATTAATAATCAGTATTTAATAAAGAAAATTTATTTGTTATATTAGTTAAATGTCGAAATTTATTCAAAATATATTAATATTTCTGTTGAATATTAAAGATATATTCGACAAAATGTGTACCGCCAAAATTTAGACAAGTTTGAACATAATATTTAGGATTTATTTTTGTTTTTATTAAACAAATATTTTTACATGTATACAAATATTTTATAACACGCACAATTTTATTTTGCTATTTGAAACAATATTTTATTTATATCCAGTTTATTTTTCGAATCTTATTTTTTTTCTGCTTTTATAAATATAAATATAAAATTTTAAAAAGTTTATTTATATACTTGAAATTAATTTAAATTTGCACACTACACAATGTTTTGTGTCCATTTTAATGAAAATTATATAATTCCCAATATAAATAATCTGATGAATACTCTTCTATTAGAACCGAAGTACACGAGCGATTTTTCCGCTACGGGATTCACTCATAAACCATAGCACACACTACTTTAAAATATATACATATACCAATATTATTAGTCGGCGAGGAACACCATAGGAAAATTCGACCGCGACATACGACGACAAACCATAATACAGAACCGCTCATTATCATCATCATACACAATGGTGATTTCTTACAGTTGTGTCATTCTGTTACCATTTTTCATATGCACTTGATTAAAAAGCGCTCAGCAATGATCATTACTGACATGATTTTTTGAACATAATAAAATAAACGCCGATGATGATATCGATGATAAACAAAATTAATTCTAATGACAAAGGTAGGTTTCAGACTGTACCGAGTTAAATTTCAACATGCTCAGCGAAATGTGGGCATATTCACAGTCTTGTTACGGCTACAGTTAACGAATGCTTTTGACTACCCCATTAAGGATTAATCACAAACATATTTTGGGTGTCGTAAGAGGTGACTGAGGGAGCTTTTGGTGAAAGGATGGGCAGTAGCGTCCCTCTTAAAATATCACCAAAAGTTAAACTGCAGTTGCCAATCTGTCTGCCAAGCGTGGCAACTACTGGCAAAACCCCCCCTTAAGAGAGAGGCTATATTCAGCAGTAGACAGTTAATGGCCAATACAACATTTTTTTTAATGAAATGCTAATAGCGAAAAACTGAACGCTCAGTTATTTCTGTCTGAGATGATTTACAAGCTGATTTATACTGCGGGAAAATCGCTCATGTAATTTTGTACTTATATATTATAGCTATTCTTAACTTTCACAATATTAATTAAATTTCACTTTTAATAACATTTTTTTTTAATTTCCAATTTAAGAAAATTATCTTATTCATTTTTTATTCATTAATTATATATGTATAATTATACATTTACTTTTAAAATAGATTATATAAATAAATATGTACACAATTTTTTTATTATTACATTTATTATTTTTATAATTTATTAATAATACACTAATGGTATACCAGACATATATTCAGGGATGCTTATCTCCATTTGACCACCGTTGTCCGTTTACAATTAAAGTGTTTAATAAAGGTACATAAACATTATTCGAGGCAAAAGTTATTATTTTTTGTTTCCAATTTGTCTTTAAGAGATTGTTTTTAACGATAAAGCCACCTTTTGTATATGCAGACTTCTATGTATTGAACAATAAATAAAAGTTTTATTAAAAGAAATATCAAAAAAGTTTGTGTTTATTTTTTTATGATCAATTACAGTCGATATTTGCCCTTACAATATTTTTTAATAAAATATCGAATCCGTCTTGTCACTTAAAAAAATAAAATTGTACTAAACAGATGTTCAATACATGTTTAGACGTCTTACTACGAAAACGTGTCTAATATCAGTCTATGTGTAAACAAGAAAATCAAACAAAGAATAAGACAATCTATGATGTTACAAAAAATAAAAGGTATTACAAAGTAATACTTTTTAATTACAATGATCTATAAATTTTCGCTTATAAAATTACAAATAAACATAATAAGACTAACTAAACAATATTTTATCACTTAAACAGAGTTTTGTTAAACACTGTTTAGATAAACAGCCTTTTAAATATTTTTCGCAGTAAGACCAATCTTGTTTGCCTCGGATAATGTGTATGCCTATTGTAATATCGCAGATATATCGAAAGTAAAATTTTCGCAAGCAATGACCTAGTTTATAAGGCTTACACAGAGAGTGAACAGGGCTTGTATCTTATTGTATAGCGGTCTATATTATAATATATACATATACAATTTTGAACAATACAAGAACAAATTATTTGAAATATTGTTCATTAAACATGTGAAATTATATGTGTGTTTTATTTCTGACTAGCAATACCGGCGACTTGATTAAAAAATAAAAGTGTATGCCAAATAATTTTATTACCAAAGTGATCATGGGCGGCGGTAGTCACTTACCATCAGGTGAGCCGCATGCTCGTTTGCCCCCGTGTTATAAACCAAAATCTATACAATTTTATTTGTGTGAATTAGTGGATCGCCAGTGAACTTTTTTTTTTTACAACACAGGGCAAACGAGCACGCGGCTCACCTGATGGTAAGTGACTACCGCCGCCCATGGTCACCCACAACACCTACGGCATTGCAGGTGTGCTGCCGGCCTTTTAAAAAGGAATATGCTCTTTTCTTGAAGGTTATGTTGTCGTAACGGTTCGGAAATACTGCTGCTGGAAGTTGATTGCAAAGAGTGGTTGTGCGTGGGAGAAAGTGCCGTGTTGGTTTCGGCATAGAATAGATCACCCCTTCCTTTCCCATGAGTGTCATAAGAGGCGACTATGGGAGCTAATAGTGGAGGTATGGGCAGCAGTGTCCCCCTTTTTTTAATGGTTGATAATGGAATGGTAACCCCACCCGCGCTATCGGTATACACCGGCGGGGCACCAGTGAAGGATGATAGGTGAGGATGAAGTAGGTCAGTTAGCCCATCGTGACGAATTCAACAAGATTTGTTCACGATGATTTTCAGGGAGAAACACGTGGAGGTTAACCTAATAGGACAATTTGCTAGTAACGGGGCTGTCAAACTCCATTGCTAACAACCCCTTTTCTCCCGCAGCGTCTCTCTTAAAACATCACCAAAAGTTATACTGCAGATGCCAAAGTACACGCCAAACATGGCAACTACTGGCAAACCCCCCAAGAAGAAGACTTACGTTCACCAGTGGACAGTTAAAGGGTGATATGATAGTCATACATTATAAGTTACATAAATCGATGGGTTTGCTTCGCATCAAGCAATAGTAGGTCTTAGATTGTAGATCTTAAGGACCGAATTAGTAATGTGCCAAGTCGAGTTTTCATTCAAGTATTTTAGTACTCGTTAAAAAATAATTGTACCCTAGCTTGAGCCTGAGAACTCGAACAAATACTCAAGTACTTGTATGGGCATTCGTGAACTTGATCAAACTAGAGTAAATTTTCAATTAGTTTCTAAAGAAGCATCAGGCAAATTATTATTAGCAGCGTTATAATAATTTGCCTGATGATGCCTCGTTTACAGATGAATACGTGTTGTAAAACGTGCGTGAACAAAATGGCGGTCTGAGATTGATGGCTAATAGGGCAGGTTGTGGAAATTCTGGTAGCAGTAGTGGTAATCAGTCTTCGAGTATTTGCAGTCACAAACATACTAATTATAGGAGAGTTAAATAAAACGATTCTAATCAAATAATTAATAAATTTTTGGGTCATTTAATATTTTTTTCAATTGACAATTATTGGAAAAAATATAGATATACCCCGACGTCGCCCGTGGCCATATCGTGAAGTTAAATAGTCCTTCATCGAGCTATCAAATACAAAAAAAAAAAATTTAAATCCGTGTAGTAATTTCAGAATTTAGCGCATTCCAACGAACTGTTCCGCTTTATTATATTACTATATATAACTAGTAGTATTCGACTACCGCAAACACTCGAAAACTGTATTCTTATTTCTATATATGTTCGTGGTATATACCTCGAGTACATACAGAATTACGAATACAAGAATTAAGAATACCTGTATACTCGAACACTAGAATATCTAATATTCGAGTTGTTATTCGAGTCATCCGAACACGGCACATCACTAGAACAAATAATAACTACTTTAGTATTATAGATTAGTTGAAAAATGAACCTTAAATAAACACAGTATTGGCTAAGCACCCCGTAAACGATTAACTGTACAATGTTTACAATCAGTGCCCATAAACAACTCTTAATAGACGTGGTAGGACCTAAAGGGCAATTATCCGTTTGCACCCTTACAGATATGGGTCCTAATCATTAATTAATGTTTGTAGATTGGGTTAAGTGAATATTCAAAGAATTGGTAAGATATTTATTATAATATAGTGGGTAAAGAAGCACGCACCTCACCTGATGGTTTTTTTCTTTATTTATTTAAGGCAAACAGACAGCTAGAATAATACATAATTACACACTTAAATAGTAATTTGACAGCCACTAAAGTTTGCACAAATGTAATACAAGTGAAGGAAACACAAAATTAAACAATACTAAATTAAACAAATTAAACAATACTAAATTAAACAAATTAAACAATACTAAATTAAACAAATCAAACAATACTAAATTGAACAAATTAAACAATACTTTTGGAAACTACAGCAACATTGTCAATAGATAATGCTCAGATGTTAACAAAACTATCCATTTTTTCAGTACAAGACAATATCTTCTATACTTATAATAAATCTGTAGCGAGGTCAATTCTGTACATGAAATATATTTCCAAAATAACTATCAAGGAGTGATTAGTGATCGATACTGATGCCAAAAATGTAATCAGTAAAATTTTTGTCTGTCTGTATGTTCGTTATGGAAACAAAAACTACTCGACGGATTTTAACGAATCTTGGTACAATTATACTTCATACTCCTGGGCAGGTTATAGTATACTTTTCATCACGCTACGATCAATAGGAGCAGAGCAGTGAAGGGAAATGTTGAAGAAACGGGAGAAGTTACTCCATTTGTAAGCTTTCATCGCGTGTGCAGCCTTAATGGCCACTTTTTTAAATGTAAAAATGTTCACCCGTGCGACGCACATAATCATTAAATTTTTTAATGATGTTTTAAGAGAGGCTCTGCTGCCTTTTTTTTATTTTTTTTATACCACTAAGCTGGTAAACAAGCATACGGCCCACCTGATGGTAAGCGGTTACCGTAGCCTATGAACGCCTGCAATACTGAAGAAACCTCTTTATCCCCCTTTTGAAGAACCCCATGCTGTAGTCTCTTGAGAAAACCTCGGCAAGGAGCTCATTCCGTAACCTGAGTGTTCGTGGGAGGAAACATTTCTGAAACCGCGTTGTACGCGACCATTTAGGCTGTAAGGTAAGGATAAATAAGCAGAAGTGGCAATGAGCTGGTCATATAGCTCAAAGAACCGACAATCGATAGGAAAGAAAGATTTTTGAGTAGCGACTGCGTACGGGCAAACACAATGTAGGACGACCCCCCACTAGATGGAGTGACGACCTGAAATGCATTGCAGGGAGTCAGTGGATGCAGGTGGCTCAAGACCGTTCTTTATGGCAGTCTATGGGGGAGGCTTATGTCCAGCAGTGGACGGATAATGGCTGAAATAATGATAATAATGACTGCTGCCCATTCTTGGACCATTAAGCCTCTTACGACACCCACGGTAAAGGAAGGGATAGCCTATTCCATACCGGAATCATACAGCTTTTATTTTATAGTTCTATTGAAACAGAATGTAGTTCGGAATAAATTTAACCTATCTATCCTATTTAAGAGCTGCGCCCTTCTCGGTGGAGCTCTTGTCACTCACTACGATTTTCAGCGAGTCTCTTCACCTCTTGATACGACACGACACCAACTCCTTCCTTGATCTGCCTGATGTAACTATGTCTCGGTCTCCCTCTCCCCCTCTTTCTATCTTACCTTCTATTATAATGTGCATAAGTTCGTCGTGTCGTATCAAGTGTCCCAACATTTTTAATGACAAATTAAAATATTTTATCAACGCTCTAACATTACTTCGCAATGTTCGTATGTTTGTTCAGACCCTTGCTTGTTTACTGTACAATAGAAGACATTTTATTATTAATATACAATGTCAATCTAGACTTTATTCGACATTTTAAATATTCATTTACATATTCCTAGAAATAGAAAAGAATTAGATATATTAGTTTTTTTATTTGTAAAGGATGGATGAAAGAAGAGCTATGAAAAAGAATTGTAAATATCAATAGAATTTTTTAGGATCCAGTACCAAAAAGGTACAAGGAACCCTTATGGTGCGACTTTGTCGGTTCGTTTGTTTACCTGTCCTTCTATCACAGCGTTATATCTGAGCAACTACGAATGCTGTCGATTCGTTTGTTACTACATATTGTTAGTCCGCATATACTGCAATGAAAATAATTGAAAAACTTTCCAAATTAATCTATTAGTCCAATATTATATGTCAGTCCGGTATCATATGAAATCAATTTTTTTTGTACATTTTAAAACTGATTTCTATTTATTTTTGTACTGCGCAATTTAGTAGTTATGCTCGAAAATTTAATAAAAACTCTTTCCCCCTCTTCTTATCTCCAAGGTTTATAAAGCAAAATATCTGAATATGGCAGAAAAATTTAAACGTGCAAATCTTACCATTTTTCCATCGGATAGGCCGTCAGCTTGTTGCCATTCTAATTTACAATAAAGAAAATTCTAAATTGTATAAAAAAAGGATTAAAAATATTTTAACTTCAACTTTACTCGACTGACATATACAGAAATGTCTTATATACTGCTAGCAATGGGACTAATAGTCTACTTTACTGACAATCCCTCCTCCCCTCAGAGATGTTTCTTGCCACGAATGCTGAGATTATGAGGTCCTTGTTGAGGCTTATCCAAGAGACTACAGCATGGGGTTCTTCAAAAAAGTTCTTTAAAGAAGTTTCTTTAGGGTCGATAACATACACGTGATTCTCCTAGTATTGCTGGCGTTCATAGGCTCCTATAACTGCTTACCATTAGGTGGGCAGTTAGTGGTATAAAAAAAAACAAAAGACACGCAGATACGTCCAACTTACATTATTTTTTGCGTCGAGGGTTAAAAATAGAAACTCGTTCTTTTTGATGTCGGTAAAAAGCGAAGGGTACAGGTAAACAGAGGAGCAACGTTTAATCTTTCAGTTACGGCCAAATATAATCAATATACATGAAATTGGATGATGAATCCCTTAGCAGCCCTAGGGTATTGTTTGGAAACAAATTGATACAGATCTAAAACATGATGACAGAAGTGATATATATATAT